TTAGGTTCTCAATCTATTTGTAATTGGGTTTTGTACAGGCTGGTGAGTATAGATCTGTTTGTATTCTTCTACATGCAGGCATTCAATTGTTGAAGATGCTCTCTGTTTTTTCAGTGTGTATTTTTTATTTCTTTATAAGAAATTAAGTATCCATATATGGTTGGACTTATGTCTGACTCTTCAGTTCAATTCAGTTGATCAACATGTTCATTTTTATGCCAATATGTGTGGTTTTTATTAATGTAGCTCTGTGGTACAACTTGAAATCAGAAATTCTGATACTTCCTACAGTTCTTTTATTGTTCAGGATTGTTTGCACAAGTAAAACTCAAATTTATCAATGCCATATGCCAGAAATTTAGCCTATTAGGAAATTTTCATATTTTTAATTATATCCTCTCATTCTATTTTAATTCTTATTCTTTGTAATGGATTAAAGTAGTTTGGAAGCCTTTTACTCCTTCTGACGTTCCTATCAAACACCTATGTTTCTTGCTTTGAGCTTTTCTTCAAGGTCAGCCTTTTCCTTCTAAGAAAAACAAAAGGGGGAATTCCTTGGCCTCTCTACTAGAGCAGTCACCACATGGCAGAGCAGGCCCCTCCTCCACTACTTCTAAATCTGCCATTAACCTTTTCTCCCCAACAGGAATACCCAAAACAATGTTCATGCTTTCCCACCATTAATGCCTTTTCCCCCAACAGAAATGCCTAAATAACAGTGTTCGTGCTTTTCAACCCAAAATTTTTTGCTTTTTGTTTAAATGTCTCCTTTTTTCTCTAACACTCATGATATATTCCCAACATTTTTTTTTTCAATTTTTAAGACTTCAAGGTTTAAAGGTCATCTAATCTACTTTCACAGGATAAATCAACATGCTGATCACCATCTTTCAGCTCCTAATTAACAACTAGTTTCCTTTTACAGACAAATTGTTGCTGCCTACATTATTAAAATGTTTTTCTTCCTCAGCCATCCAAAACAGACTCAAAGGTGACTTCTAAGACTAAAATTTCCTCAAACACCTTTGCCTTTCTAGAATCTCAATGACACACCATGATGTTCCTGATCCCAAGTAGCCTAATGTTTACTACACACCCTTTGCAGACATCCCCCTGCCTGGGTGCTGCTTCCTTGTTGTGATTAATCTACAGGTGGTCCCACAAGTCCAACAGAGACAATGCCACCTCCTGGAACCTGCCTAGGATGCCATGCATTCTTCTTTCAGCCACACCACCTGACTGCAGATTTGAGAGACACGCTGAGATCCAGAGATGCATGCCAAGATCCAGAGACTCATTGAGTCCTACAGACAGATTCAGACCTTCCAGCTACAAATGAACTCTTTTGCCAAAGTCAAATAGCTTAAGTTACACATTAGTGAGGAAAACATAATGTCTATCTAGAATAGTCAGACATTACTACCATCAAACTGTACCACCTGAATTCAATTGATTCAATGATCCCTTGCCTTCCCTACCCCACCCCAACTCCCCTTACCCTTTGGCTTAATGGTGCTAACCCCTCTGGCCTACATAATACTTTCTTTCGGCTTCCTCATCCAAAATTTTCACCACAGTGACCCCCCCCTTTTTTAAAAAAGTAAAGGGGAGGAGATGTGGGACTGCGTAAGGGAATCCTGGGTCATGGTTGAGCAGGTGCCTAGAACCCCAAGACTCTGTGTGAGAACCAGCAGGAGTTCTGCACCCCCCAGGGAAAAAAAAAAACCATGAAAAGTCCTGAAAAGCAGTCATGTCTCCATAGAATTACATTGTTCAGTCACATAGGCCAGATTAGAGGCCTCAGGGCCTAGGGATTTACATACTAATGAAGGCCAGAGGGTGGAGCAAATTAAGCATGCCTCCCTAGATCCTCCCCCATCCTCCACAGATCCTCCCCCTTTCTCCCTCCCTATATAACTCAGGACTGCCCTGAGTTTTATGCGGGTATGCCTAGATCCGTCTGCCATCCGCCATGACAATAAACCTTTCTGGAACAATAATAATAATAATAATAATAATAATAATAATAATAATAAAAGTAAATGAAGTAGTTTGGAAGGTTTATATTGTAGTTTGTGGGATTCACAGTTGGGATACTTCTGTTGCCCTTTCTCCCTTGAAGCAATGTGAAAACTAAACAGCAGAGTCAAAGATTCTACCTTCATTGGTTCTCATCCCATCTGACTAGAGTATGTGGCATCTTTAGCACTATGGTCTTATCATCTAGTGCTGGTGGGCAATCAAAAGGAGTGGTAAGAAAGTGAGATATTTTGGAGGACTCTGGGGGCAAGCCTGACCAATAACTCACATAGAGGTATCCTATACTTGGCACTTGGATACTTGTTTATAACTCACTGCTTCTAGAATAGCATTTTCTAACCACACAGGCTATCTCATTTTTAACTCTTTTTTTAAATTTTATTTTTAACAAAGCTATAAAATATTAGATTTCTATATGGGTTTTCCATATGTTCCTCATTTTGGCTAATGTTCCCCAACCCAAGCCCTGTAGCACTCTCATCTCGTTCTTGCTGAATAATGAGCCTATGCAGACCATTCTTAGTCAAGTCACCACATTCTACTCCCTTGCCCCCACAGGCTTAATATAATGCCATAATATAATGCAAAATTCATTTAGTCCAACTTCAACACTGACCATAGGCTTTTACAATCTCAGCACTGTTTAAAAGTCCAAAGTCTCTTCTGAGACTTATGAAAATCTCTTAACTATAACTCTCTATAGAATCAAAATAGCAAAGAAGATCACATACTTCATCATACAATGGCACATAATATGTATTATCATCATAAAATGGAGGAAAAGAAGTATAGTGAGGAAATACTAGACCAAATCAATACTGAAAACTAATAGGGCAAATGTCAGAACTTCATGTCTGGTATTAGATGGCTCTTCCCTTCCAGCTTTGCTGACTGTAATATACTTCTCTCTTAGGTTGTTTCTACACTCTCTCTGAAGTTCTCCTTGGGAGGTACACCATGGCTCTGGCATTTCCAACATCTTGGGGTCTTCATTGAAATCAAGATTTCACCTTCATAGATTCAGTGGCCTATCAGAGCCTTGATGCAGGAATACCCATGTCACACCTCTTGCTTGAGTGGCTTTTATTAACTACAGAGAAAGATTCTACAGCCCTCTTTTTTATCCTTGACTCTAAATATAGAAGCATATGATGTGGTAGAAGTTGCCAACTTCTTCTGCTTGCTGATACAAGAACCTGTTCTCCTCTTTGAGTTACAGTAACTTCTTTCCATTGTTGATGGTTTCCTTTGCCCCTTAAGCTTTCCTTTTATTCCTTTTCACAGGTTGAAAGCTTAGTTGTGTGGGTTCTTGCCACGAGGTTGCTACTCCTTTTGTTCCATTTTGAATCAGGACTTCCTTTAAACTTTTCATTTCTTGAATCACAAAACTTGGTGCCAACATTACATTCTCTTGTTCTCTTTTTCTCCTTGAACTGAGCATTTTCCTTGCTTGCTTTTTTTTTTTTAACTATAGATCTGCATACTAATGATCTATAATACTGATAACCATACTAATAACCAGAGGACATTAGGATACAAATGAACATAGGGTACAATCAATACTAAGCTCCTCTACCAATAATGTTAATCTAAAACTTTTCAATTTATCCTCAGGCAGACTTTTTTTTCCGACTAGTGAAAAAAGAAAACACGTTCTTTGTCAAAATATTACAAGAATTGTTTCTAAGACAGCAGCTAATATTCTCCTCTTCTAAAAGTACTTTATCTGGGCCATAATCCACATTGCTTTCAACTCTACTGTCTTTTTGTGCTCTTACTATGATGACCTATTAAACACTGCTTATAGCATTCCGTTACTGTCTTAGTCTAAATTCCACAAATCATTGTTCTCCAAACAACAGTTTGGTCAGGCCTGTCACAGCAGTATCCCAGTTCCTGGTATCAAGTTCTGTCTCAGTCACTGTACTACTGCTGTGAGGAGATACCATGGTCACTCTTTTAAAAGACAACTCTTATAAAAGAAAGCATTTAATTAGGGACTTGTTTACAGTTTTAGAGGGTTGGTCCATGATCATCATGATGAGAAGCAGACAGGCATGGCACGGGAGAAGTAGTTGAAAGCTTTGCATCCTGTTCTGCTGACAGCAGGCAGAGAAGGGGTGAGGGGAAAGGGTTTGGAATGTGCTTTTGAAATCTCAAAGCCTCCTAATCCTTGTCAGTTGTTCTACATGAGAACCAAGAATTTAAATGTATAAGCCATTTGGAGCCCATATCATTCCAACCTCAAGTTCTTTGAATACAAATCCATGGATGTTATAGTTGAGTCATATAGTTCAATTTCTGTTTTTGTTGTTGTTGAGTGTATAAGTGTTTTGCCTGCTTTATGTATGTGTACCATGGGCCTGAAGTGTCTTCAATGGCCAGAAGAGGGACATAAGCTTCCTTGGAACTGTAATTATGAATAGTTGTGAGCTGCCATGTGATTGCTGGGAACTGAACCTATGTCCTCTGTAAGAACAAGTGCTCTTATGTCCTGAACCATCTCTCAGCCACCAACATTTAATCTTTAAAGCTGTTGTTCTGGAATCCACAGTCATAATTACTGAGCAACTCTTCTATCTTAGGTAACAGTCCAGAACACAGCAGATGGGACCTTACACTATCAGAGAGACAAACTGCCCTGAAAAGAGCGACAATGTGTTTGAGATTTTGTAATGAACACAGAGCAAACTCTGGGGACATACTTGGGAGCCTATTAGTATTTGTTTATACATAAATGTCTGTAATAGTATCTACTGTTCATGGCCCCTCAGTTCTTTGCATCTGAAGCACGGTAGGAAACTGGTAAGCTTGTTATAGGAAGCTTAGGAAGTTTTACTGCATCACTTGAAAATCAAATCTTTAGAATTTAAACCCTGATTATTAAAATAAAGGTCACAAAATGTGCTATAATCAAGGCTTGATGTCTGTGATACAAAATTAAGAAATATAAAATTCTCAAAGTCTTTGAGGCTTTGCAGGTGTGGCTGCTGTGTTAATGTGTATCAGCAGGTGGCAGAGATGAGAAAGGCTATGTCTATGCTCATTGTTCTGACCTGTGAACATCTGAATGATTAGTAGCCTAACATTCCCTGAAAAAAAAATGAGCTTGAAATGACCAACAGTCCAGCATCAGAGGGCCCAGACAAGGGAGCTAGTCTGATGCCAAGTAGACCTTGGGGGATACAGACTGTGTTTGAGATGACCTCTCCTCAGTGTTACAATGTGTAAATGGGGCATAGCACTCTCTGAGACCACTCCTGAGATGACCCCAGATACTCAGAGGAACCTCTAAGAGGAGAAAGTATGTGGTGGAGAAATGAAAAAAAAAAAAAGAGAAATGGAGGGATGTGAGCACAATGAAGAGGCAGACCTAGAACCTTGAGGGTAATGAAAAATTTCTTGATGTGAGAAGTCAGTGATGCCACCTGAGACCATGGTGGGTTCTTGGGCTGTGCTGCCTCTGGGGGCCACATGCTCAGCACAGTAGAGCTGGCTCTAGATGTAAGTGACCTGGCCCTGAGAGTTTGAGCATGTGAGGGGCAGTCCTGCTTCTTGTCTGCTATGCGATGGCATGGTGAGGGAGTGATGGCCATCTCCTTTGCCCTTGGCAGCATAGTCTGGGGGAGAATAACTGGGGCAGTGAGGGCAAGGGAGAAATATTCTTTGATACTCTCTTACCTTGTCACCTATGGCATGAGGAAGAGCTGGTTCTGGGGCCCTGAGAGTGGGAGAGATGGCCCAGACCCTCACCTGCTGCAACACTCAGGAGGGTGAGCTCTGAAGCTCACCTGGGTATCAGGGTAGAGATGGCCCAGGTAGCAGGGGTTGCCCATGAGTCAGAGCATCTCAGATACCTCTAAGGCCCAGGTTCAGGGATTTAAATTGGCTCATCCCAGCATCTACCCATTGATGAACTGTTTGAATGGATGAAGAGGCTGGTCCTATAGATCCAAAACTATAGGATCTCCATGTCACAAGGCAACAACAGAATATTTGAGAGAAATCTCAGAGATGTTCTAGTATTGATATAATAGCAGAATCCAGAGATCTTGTACCAGAGCAATGAATCTTCCTGATGCACATTTCCAAGCAAAGAAGTATGAACATTGTGACACACTACAACTTTCCCTTTTGTTGGGAAAAATCACCATGTTACTCAGGATGAGACTGAACTTCTGATACTTCTGCTTCCACCTTTCCAGTGCTCTGCTTGGATCAGTGGAACCATGTTAAGCTGTATCAGGTACTTATATGGATATATTTTAAAACTTATTTATACTCTGACCAGCAATGAATTTGAATCCCTAGGAATCAATATTGTCTTTTCATTTTATGACATTAGTGTTTGAGATTTTGGCCACTCTAACAGTTACATAGCAGTGCTTCATTATTATAATTTGCAACTCTTCAATGACACATGGCAGTGAGGATCTTTTTATTGGTTCATTCACCATCTTCATATTATTGTTAATGAGATGGAGGCTCAAGACTTTTGTCACATTTTTATTTTCTTATAGTTGAATTTTGAATGTTCTTTAACATTTTGAGCAATAATTCTTTTTATCAAGAACATCTTTTGCAAATGTATTTTTCCCAGCTTGTAGCTTATTTTTTTATTTTTTGTTACATTTATTTATCTGGGGTGTGTGTGTGTGTGTGTGTGTATGTGTGTGTGTGTGTCTGTCTGTCTGTCTGTGTGTGTGTGTGTGTTTGTGTAGAGGTAAGAGGACAACCTGAGGGAATCAGTTCTTGGCTGAAACCATATGTGTGACTTGGAGACTGAACTCAGGTCATCTGGCTTGGTGGCAAGTGACTTTAGTTCTGAGCTGCTGCACCAGCTATTTCTCCTAACAAAATCTTTTGCAGAGTACATGTTCTTAGCAATAGTGATGTACAGTTTGCCAGCTCCTTTCACCTACTGGATTCTGGTGATTGTCTACAGAGTGCTGACGTGATAAAAGTCATTTAGATTTTTGAGAGGAATGATATCTTTTAGGATTTTTTAATGGATTTTTCATTTTACACTCAGATGTATGTTTTGGTCTCCATCAATTTTTGTGATAGGTTAAGGTACTGATTCTATCGTGGACTTTCAGCATGTCATTAGTCAGTTGTAGCATTCCCTGCTGAAAGGACTCCATTATCCATTGCATTGATTTCATTTCTTTGTCAAAGCTTAGATGACCATATTTGTATGGCCATTTCTGTGTTGCTCATTGTACCCATTGGTCTATAAGTCTAGTATGCTCTTCTGTACCATGGTGTTTATCTACTGTAGGCTCATTGTGAGTTTTAGAGTGGAGTAAAATCAGTATTCCATGTCTCTTTCTCTTTTATGTGTTGTAAAGCACTAACAACATTTTGCATGAATGTGAAAAAAATAATTCTTTAATTTTCACAGCAAAGATTTTCTTCGTACGTGGATTATTTAGACTTACATTAATTATTTTGGTTTGGGAATAATAATGGAAATAATATTGTTCTTTATTTTAAACTTGACTTGCTTAGTGCTAGTGCATTCAAACATAGTTGACTTTGCATATTAGCCCTCTATTCTGCAATGTTATTGTCATTGGTCTCAGAAGTTTTTGATTCAAGTTTTCATGTTTTTCCAACATAGACAATCTGCCATCTATATCACGTTGACTTACTTTTTAAGTTTTTCTTACTTATTCTTGTTTTTGTGGCTCTAAGGATAGAACTTAGGGCCCCAACATATGCCAAGAAAACATTCTACATATAGTTATACCAATCATCTTATGCTGATTTTAAATATTTTTATTAATTTGTTGAGAATTTCATAAATCTATTTTGAAATTAGCCTCCTAACTCCTTTCAGATTCATCACTACTTTCCTCCCCTCCAAAATTCTCTTTTTTTCTCTTTTAAGCCAACTGAGTTCACTCTGTGTTGACTAACTACACTTGTGTTTTCTAGTGCAGCTGCATTTCCTAGAAGCTGTCAAGGGCCAATTTCTTCATAAGTAATAATGGGGCTACATGCCCTTTGTCTAGATGGAATTCTGTCTGGCTTGAGCTTGTACAGGTCTTGTTCATGCTATAACAACTGCTGTGAATTCATATGTGCATGTACTTCAACTGTGTGTAGGAAACACTACTTCCTTTGAAGTCATTCAACAGTTCTGACTCTTGTAATCTTTCTATCTCCTCTTCTTCAAAGATCTCTGAGCCTTGACAAGAGGAACATGATAGAGATGTCCTATTTACAAATGAGAATTTCAAAGTCTCTTATCCTTTGCATACTGACCAGTTGTAAGTTTCTACATCAATGTCCATATTTTTAATGAAGAAACTCTTCTGATGAGGGTTGCGAGGTGCACTGATTTATGCATGTAGCAGTAAATTGTTAGGAGTCATTATAATGCTGTGCCATAGGTTTTTTCATACAAGTTTTGATGTAACAGGCATGGGTTATTGGGCTTATTGCTAGTGCCAGATATGGATTCCACCTTGTGGTGTTGGTATTTAGATCCAGTCAGAAACTGGTTATCCCTATAATATTTGCGACAGTATTGCACCAGTAGGTATGTTTCCAGGTAGGTCATTATTGTAGGTCACAGGGTTTACAAATGGGTAAGACTGATGACTATTGTTCTCCTATGGTAGTGAGCCCAACACTTCCCAGCACCATGGAATCTGGATAGTTGTGATAAAGCTTTCAGTTCGGTACCTGCTTGATTTCTCTATGCTTATGACTTGAGTATGTGGAGTCTTCACTTGTGCTGTTTGTTTGTTTTGAGAGAAGGTCTCACTCTGGAGACCAAGCAAACTTCAACTCATGCCAATCCTCCTGAGTCAACCTCCAAAATGCTAAGATTGCAGGTGCCACCTTGGCCAGCATTTCTATGTTGAGATTTAAATGGATATTGTAAAAAGCTTTTACTTGAATAGAGAATTTTAACTTAAGTAACTACATCTCCATTTAAAATTTTTCTATAAACATTTTTTATTGCATAGCTGATTCTTGGGATCCTACATTTTTTCTCTTTAAGGTTTTTTTTTTCTAACTAATTGGTGCTTGTTCTGTGTATATCATATATACATATGTATATGTATATATGACATTGTGGTCAGTAGCTGAATAGCAAATGTGACAGCATTCTGTACCCTTTCCAAGGGCCTTATGAAAATGTAGCTATTGGACCAGAGAAATGGCTTAATGGTTAAGAGCTGGCTGATTTTCCAGAGGACTTGGATTTAGTGTCTAGCTCACAACTGTCTGTAACTTTAATTCTTGGAGATCTGACATTCTTTTCTGGCCTCTGCAGGCACTGGCCTCATAGGGCACATAAGCATATGCAGGCAAAAACATACACATAAAATAAATATGTTTTTATACAAGGAAAAGCATATAAAGAGAAAAATATAATAAAAATACTGCAGAGGGTGATTTTAGGTCTTCCATAGTTGTTAAAATTTACAAGGTTCAAGTTCTTTATATAAAATGTATTAGTACTTGCCTACAACATACACACATTTATGCTTTAAATCCTTTCTGGATTACAATATAGTTCAATGTAAACACTATGGAAACATTCATACTGTATGTTTAGGAAGTGAAGAAGAGTTACAGTTAGGGTTAGGTTATTCAGACAGATTAATGGATTGACTGCTTGACTCTTGGGATCTCAGGAACAATTTCTTTCTTGATGCAAATTATTCCAATTTGTACAAAGTACTAAAGGATGAGTTAATGATATACTTGATAATCTTGAACAAGAGGAAAGTAGCCAAGGATCATGGGTACTTTATTGTTCATGAGATTGTCAAAATTCTGTGTGAACTACAGGTAAGTACTTAAAAAAGAGTATCTCAGAATTATAAAGTATGTCATGGTTCTGAAAACTCAACACTACTTTGTAATTTATGTACAATGAAAAAGTCTACAACAATGGCACATCAAACCAATATTTTCAACATGGTCTATGTTTTTGTCAAAATCCTAGTTTCCTTTAATTGCTCAGTACAATGGAAATGCTGGAACATATCACAGTAGATTCATTGGCTTTATAAATCATTTCGTGATTTGCTTATAATAAGTGAAACCTTGAGGTTTTAGCTGCTGTC